GAAAAAGGCTTTAAATGGTAATATTCTTTCTGACATTGCAATTTAATATTTCAAAAATAATTGGTGACATCTATGTTTAAAATATTTGAAATGCCTTAAAGTCCCACAGTTCAGGATAGCAGAGCAAATAACACTCCTATTTTTCTCATATGTGGATGTGCCATACTGTTTCGAGCAGGTGCTAACACGGGACGACATGACACGGGACGACATGACACGGGACGACATGGGGAAGTTGAAGAATTTGTGGCATGGCTGAAACCAATACCAAGCAATGTAAACAAGCACACTGTGTTTTGTTCATAACATGTTCAACACAATTAATAATGTGTTAGTCTTTTCCATTTTTGGTCCAAGTGGAGTTGGTCCTAAATGTGATTCTGGAAGACATTATATCTAACTTGCTTTAAACTGTAGGAAACCCACTTTAACCTTTTGTGAAACCCAAGCCATGACAACACATTCATGTAAACACAGACTGCACTTCAATATCAAGGCTTATTCCATGGTCTTTAGTAAAAAGCTTTTAGCATGAAGAAGCAGCAGCTAATATTGAGCTTGAGTCATTAACAGTAGCATTACCAGAATACTCACATCCTAAAGGTTCAGCAATCCAATTGGGACAATATTCACGTGTCGTCTTTGCACTTTATTTCCTCTTGCTCTTTCGCAGCACTTTGACTCTGTAATGAGTTGTGTGTTTTTTAAGGCTTGGGTGCTAAAGATGTAATTAAGTCAGCTTGTTCCATTTAAGTAATGGCTACCTTCTAACATACTGTATGTTCAAACAGAAAAGGTGCAAAGAAGTCAAAGGGTCTCGACACAGCAAATTGCCCGAGCCAATCTTTCCCCGAATTTGGACTGCAGCTCTGATTCACACATAATGGCTTGAGAACAAAGCTCCACCGCTTAAAGAAAAAGCTGCATAATCCAAAGCAGACGGAGCCCATATATCTGGTAGGTCCTTCATCTTGAATAAAAACAGGACTGATTACCATTTGACCTTTCAATGTCATGCATATTCACTAAACCACATACATACTTTGAAGTAAAGACAACCAATCCCATAAGGAATGGATAAAAATAGGGCTCTCGTGGTAGCACAAGCCATTTTTAGGCCGTGTGTCTGTTTCCACTTTCCCCATTGCAGGGGTGCTCTGTAAAACATCGGTGTAAATGGTTTATAATGCCACCAGTGGACTCTGAAATGGGAGACCTGGTTTCAATCAGCAGTCAAATTGCTCCTACATTACCCTTGCAGACAGAGTAGTAAATCACTCTTTGCCTTTATGCTGCTGACGTTAAGGAACAAGCATTGTTAAAAATCCACCAAGCGTGCAACTAAGAGCAGCCTGTCTTTATGTGGGGATGGGATGCTAAACAGGCCAATGGCCGTTGCTTGCAGTGTATCTTTAGACTCAAGAGTGACGTCTAAGCAGCAAAGGAGCACACATTGTATAGCTGAATTCAAAGCTTAAGAATGACAATAAACCAGCCAGATCTGCAGCCTTAAAATTAAGATTGTCTGGCTCCTGTAATATCTATGCCAATGAGCCTCATCACAACCAGTTGGAACCAGTTAGCCTAGTGAAAAATAGTTTTTGGTTTCTCTGTGCCAACGCCCTGACAGTAGTCCAATGAGGAATCCCAGAGCATTTATAATCCCCTATAAACCTTAGAAATGCTGATCCCGCCCACCACAGACCAACACACTATGTCTAAAACCTCTCATTATAACTCCAGGCCCTGAAATTACCCAGATTTTACCCATATGGAAAGCATGAGAAAGCGTCAGTTTGGAGAGGGTTGTGCCGAGTGGTTTTTCAGTGTGTGGCCACAGAGGGGCTGGTTTTCTTTACAGTGCCATTCAACCCGGCCCTTGCCAGGGAATGCCGACATATGAGGAAGCCGAGGCACATGCTCTGGCTACGAGCCCCAGACCAGGACTGCAAGGAAATACCACACAACATACAATGCTCACGCAGGCCAGGGATTTACCCAGGACAACAGACACAACTGATGCAGCCTTACAAAAATAAGTAAATTCATTTGAAGCCATCTTTGACATTCAAAAGTTAAAAAAGGGTAGCCCTAGGCCCTGGCACCAATGTACGAACTGCAACACTGGTTACTGGTGTCACTCCCACATTAATTAACCGGGGTAATACCCGCCAACGAATACCAGAACTAAAATGGAAAGCTTTTCTGAAGGTTTATTTACATCAGTATAATAACCGATACTAGATGTTGATTCTACTCTAGGTCAATGTTGTATGCTAACAAACTATAGCCATATTTATATGGTAAGAAAATAATAATTGGGGCTGCACATTCATTGAAATGTAATTGAAATTGCAATATGGACTAGTGGAATGTTTAAATTGGAGGAAGCACAACATTTCTAGAGTTAAATATGTGTTCAAATACCATTTAAAATGAGATATTGTGGAGCTGCAGAGATAACCTGGCCCACAAATTGTATTCATAACATAAATAAATAGTAAATGACTATACTTTTCAACTATAATGAGAATTAGGATTAAAAAAAGACCAATCCCTCTAGTATCGTGAATCATATCGCAATAGTTATCAGTCAATATAATAGCAGTTAGTTATTTAATGCAAATCATGCAGCCTTAGTCGGAGAATCTGCTTTTTTAGCCATGATTTAAAGCATAATACAAACAATTCAGTTCAGGTGGCTGCAATGCCAACTAGCTGATGTTTGCTAATTGTTTGTATGTAGCCTGGCTTCTGCCAAAATGTGTGACAAGCAGATGACGTCACCGGTTAAGAGGCTTTTTTCTTTCAGAGGCACTCTTTCAAAAAATCCCAACGGACACCAAATGAACTGTTGACTCTTCTGGCAAGAAACAAAAGAAGAAAGCACTCTGGTGATCCATTGTGGGTCACCCTGTAATCCTCAGGAGTCATGAGGATTAGGTCAAATAAGTCAAATGTCTTCTCTTGATTCTTGGTTTGAAGTAGTTGTGGAATAAAGGCCTAAAAGCTTGCAGGAATGTGTCAGTATAAAGAAATATAAACACCTGTGCTCAAACCATGGCGGAACATATTAACATATTTTACAGGAAATGCCAAAAAGTTAATTGATTGTAGAGTGGCTTTCACAGCCCACAAACAGACAGAATCAACAGGACAATCATTCAGGATAAACACAGTAAAGAAAGCCTGCAGTCTCCTGACAACATCTAGTCAACATGATTGAAGAAAGCCTTAATGCTTCAGCAGCATGGCATCTAATAGCACTGTCAACACAGGTTAAAATGATAAAATATCTATCCAGACAGCAACAACAGGTAACTATGAACCTTAGATCCAAACAGTACGAGAGAGACTCACTTACAACACAAAATAAATTACAATGAGACTCCACTGCCTAATCTGCATGTATTCTCCAGTGTCGATGGAACATCCCACATGCAAAAGCAATAATATTTTTACAATAGGCTGTCCCACTGAGATGCCTTTGTTTTATAAGCTAAAACAGGACAGTTTATTAATAAATTACCCTAAATCTAGATTAGAAATGTCACTGTCTTTTCAGTGGGTAGAAGCTGAAGGTTAGAAACCCACACATGCAAGGCCTATGATTTAGTTGCAGAAAGCCTCTGATGCAATTCCAAGAAACCCACCCACCCTCTTTCATCCTGTTACAGTTTGGCTGTGTTTATGTCTCTACATTGTGTCTGTGACAGTTTTAATCGGATTCATGTATTGATAAGGATGGCCATGAGGCTACTTCAGCATGTCACTCCGGCTTCAAATCCTTTCTTTAAATAACCCAAACAGTGCTGTAGGCTCAATGCAATGCTTTCTTTCTGTAAATCTACCCAGTGAAAAAACACTTCCCCTATTTCAGATTTGTTTAGGACCCGGAGAGGGCTTTAGGCGAATGGCTATCAGATGAAGTAGAGCACCTGCAAAAGCTGTCACAAAAAATGGTTTTGCTATTGAATTCTCTGATGGATGGTGGCTGAAATGTATGCTTTTGCTCCAGCTGCAAGGAGAAAATCCATGACATCAAACCTGTCTCCACAGCCATGCTGCAGCAATAGTGATTTTTTTTTTTAGGGCAGATGAATGAGAAAGTCCACATCACACGAGCTTTTGAAATTGATTGGTATACAATAATTCAAATACCTGTCTGTGGTAATGATAAATTAAGGAAGAGCAAAGATTTCATCTTCCTGAGGCTCTTGCTGACATGGTCACGCACTCATGTACGAGCCCACTTGAAGGGAAAAGGCAAGGTTTTGAGAGAGCTCTGACACCTTATGGCAAATATGTTCTAGTATAAGCTCGAAAATGTCAAATCCATACATTGCAATTAGAGCAAAATAGAGTGAGGAAAGGCTCACTCCCCACAGACCACCACTGCTCCTATTTATTATTTCGTTAGTGATTCTCGACAGATTTTCAGCTTGATTTAAGATTTCATCCCTGCATAGACCACTGCTACATCAATTTGATCACTGAAAAGTGCCTGCGCTCAGTTTATTGCCAACTCTGTGCTGCTGTTTTTATCGAAAATCACTTGTGAAATAAGTGATTGAGAAGCTGCTTATTTCCCCATTCAACCTTCATTTCTGTGGATAGTCTATAAGGGCTGAATTTGACTGTGTGTTTCTGTAAGCCATAAGCAGAACGATTATTAGGCTGTTATCTCTCATTCGGCTTTGTAATAAAAGTTGTTGTTAGCTATACATTCAAGGTTAGCACAAATAAACACAGTAACTAACTGTGTGCGTGGCCGTGAGGCGAACACCGATTTTGCCAGACGGAGCCGACTTGCAACCTTTCACCGTTCAAGTTACACCTTTAAAAAGCATTTTCAAAGTAATTCCAGCCAATATAACACACAGAACAAACACATTAATACATACTGTTGCCGTAATGTCAGCAAGTTCGCTAACAGCAGAGCTTTAAGCTGCGTCTCAAGTTCAATGGGGGACATTGAAAAAAGATAACGGTGCACTTACTGAATCTCCTCTTTGTCACCGCCGTTGGCATTTCTCTCCTTCTCTGAACCGCTAGTCCTGTCTTCAGTTTGAACACAAATCCACTTCGTGTAAAAACACAAGAGTTAGAGCCAAACACGGGGAGTGGGAGAAGACAGGGGAAATATACGAGTCCACTGCCAGAAGAACACGAGGTCCTATCCCGGTCTGGGGTCGTGGATACTGGATCTATTCGTGGCAGCTCCGTGTCTCCGCTGCTGCACACGGGTTAACGTCAGCTCCTCTCAAGTGTTGAGTGTCGCTGCCTGCGTGCGAGAAGGCGAGAACAAACCTTATTTCTTCTCTTGCAAGTACATGTCTTCTTTTTTGCAAGTTACACAGTCACCCCCTACAATAAGGGAGCCGTGGAAAGCAGGGAGTTGTTACGTCTCTCCCCTCACAGTCACGCTTCTTTCTGAAGAAACACACACAGGTCGGTCAGCACGATTTTCGGATTCACTCGGCTCAACTCGCCGCTGTGTCCATTCATTCCGGCCACTCATGTCCTGCAGCCTCTGAAAACATGCCCCAGACAGTAGGACACAAGGAGAGCTGTCAATGTTATTTATCTGTTTACACTCAGCACCTGCTAAAAGAAAGACAATTCAATTAGGAATTGCAATGAGGAAACTATGCCTAAGGTGATTTTGAAAGTACATTATGACTAAGGAGATATGGCAGGAGGTTGGAGAGACAACTCAGAGTAAATACATTTCTAAACAATCATTCATTATAACAGTGGAATTAAACTTTTTTCTCATTTTCCTGTGAAGCCCCTCAGGCGAATCCAGGTCCCAGTATTTGCAATAAGCAAAGTCATGTAACAACACTGAGAATAAAAACTGTATAAATGCAGCTCTATTATCCCCATTCTCTAAAAGCAAATACAAAAAGCATCCACAGCCCTATTCCCCATTCTCATCCTTGCTCTCACCTTGCGAAAGCCCAGTACCAGACTGTTATTCATAATTCATATGTGCAGGCCAACTTTCTGTCTTTTTCACCTGTATTTGAAAATGGTTTTTTAACACAGCCTTGGGAGAAGGAATCATAAAATATTCCTCGTAGTTTAATGACAGGCAGGCATGTTAACAAGATGTCTTTGAAAGAAATAGGAACACTTTCAGGATTTTGCAACATGTTCAGATTTGAATATCAAGGTACGTTTATTTATATAGCACATTTCAGACGAGGCAATTCAAAGTGCTTTACATGATCATTATCACTTAAAGTAAGACAACAGAAAGAAACACAATCAATAAACATAATGGAATAACAGATTCATAAAAACCATGCATAAATGAGATACAAAATAGTTTAAAAACAACATTGTAAATACGGTTGGTGCTGAAACAAGTTAAAAGGCTTCTGGGTAAGCAGCTGTAAAAAGTAGTGTTTTTAGCCTCGACTTAAAATAACTCAGAGTTGGTGAAGACCTCAGGTTTTCTGGAAGTGTATTCCATTTGTGGGGAGCATACAACTAAAAGCAGCTTCGGCGTGTTTGGTTCTGAGCCGGGGAACAATGAGTAAGACCGCCCCCCGATTTTCTCAGAGCTCTGTGTGGCTCGTAACCTATGCTCGTAACAGAGCAGCATGTCGGACATATATTGGGGTCCCGAACTATACAGTCTATGGTCCCGAACCATTTAATGCTTTATAAGTTAGCAATATAATTTTAAAATCGATTCTGTAAGCTACTGGTAGCCAGTGCAGAGATCTGAGTAGTGGGGTGATGTATTCTACTCTTTTTGTTTTGGTTAGGACTCTGGCAGTTGACGTTTTTTAACCGATTTTTTACAGAGACCTGCAAATACACTATTACAGTAATCAAGCCTACTAAAAACAAATGCGTGAACTAGTTTTTCAAGGTCTTGTTGAGACATGAAAGCTCTATATAAGCTCTGCAGTCCATTCAGGTAAACCATGATGTCTGTATTTCATAAAATACTTAAAATCTAGATGACATTTCCAATTTCAATACAAAAAACGGGCAACAAAGGACAGACTTGGGGAACTGCAGAATTCACAAGAGAAGCTGTGTAATGGGCACAGAGAGAGAGGGCTCTGCTTACAGTGCAGCCTGGCTGTTAGTGCATGAGCACCCAAGCGACTCAGTTAAACGTGCAGGGCATGGATGCTGTGACCCCCAGTAATGAGGATCTGAATATCTTTAGGATTCTGACATCCCGTCTACTCCGCCTTCTAACCTTACCATGATCAATCGTTAGCTTGGCAGAACTCCCGCTGAACTGCGGCCCGGCTGTCCACCACACCTTCCTAATCATGGTGAAATGACGTTTATGCACTTTTTACCTTGCCATAAATGTCTCATGCTATTGTACAATCACATAGGACTTCCATTCACCCCACACAAAGGAAATAAACACACACAAACAAGCAAAGCCCACACATACATCGACTGCAGCAAAATTAGATGTTATGCGGCCTCAAAGTGACTGAAAGGGAAGTCTGTATATAGCTTTTAGGTTACAATTGATAACCTTGGACAGTGCACAATTCTCCAGGAATAGGAACCTCTCAGACAAATGAGAGAAGCATCCAGCACTATTACACTCAGTGGAAGACCATTGTTTCGATACAAAAACCATCAATATGTAGGTGCCAGACAGAGAAATTGGTTCATGCACTCAATAATGCTGTTCTCTTGTGGCCAACTCCAGGCTTGTTTTTCAGCTTCAGACATCGCTTTTGGACAGTGGAGCAGACCTATAAACAACAGTTGCTTGTGAAGGTCAAAGTAGCTGTCCTGTGCTGTTTTTTTTTCAGCTATAGAGCTAAAGAGTCCTAAGAGTACAAGCCACTCCTTGCCCTTGACAGATATTGAAAAAAAGCATCCACCAAATAAAATGTGTTCTACCCTAAGCTCCAAATGTCAGCATAGCAACACATGTTTGATGCAGTGGTCACGTTGCTCTTACTTTTGTGGTGTTGTTGAATCATACATAATACGCTTTATTTCAATCCAGTCAGATTTCATAAACTCTATTTTTACTGAACATAACATAAAACATCCGCAGATTTAGCAAATTAATGTTATATTAATCAAAGAATGGCATTTAAGTTCCTAAACCCTTTTTCCCAGTCAATTAAACAACTTAAACTCGTTAGAGTATTGGAACAACACTCCCATCGAAACCGTTCTCTGCTCTTAATTATTGCTGCGGTTTGGAATAAATGGTTGGCTTAATGACTGCAAATCAAAAAGGGTCTGAGGTACCAAATCAGACTCATCCTGAAATGAATCTTCATACATGAATCCCCTTATCAGCTGTTCCTCTTATTCATTTTTTATTATACTCCGCAGGGAAATTAGTTGGAAAAAATTACATGTAAAAGAGATTCATTTCTACCAAGAAGCCCCTCACTTGGTACTTGATTAATATTGATGCAGTTACTTTCCTGTCCATGATCCATATTGCAAAGAATAATTAAAATGGAATATAAATCATGAGCACATTTATGAAGAGTAACTATTGCCTTTAGCTGTTTTGTTCCAGATTTTATTTAACGTGAACAGTATGTGACCCTCGGAGCAAATTCCCCCCAAAAGTCTCCTTCTCGAAAAGTATTATTTTACAAGGAGTAGTATTAGTAAGCATTATGACGTGTTAGTATTATTAGGATGTATTCAATATAGTGGTATTTCAAAATGAGCAGTAACTTAGCTGTTGTCTAATATACGGCCATTTCAATCCATTTTTGGATTGGTATTGTTTTTTAAATAATAATTTCAACAGGCTGATCCCATATTATCTCAGTTAGGCATACGTGAACATATTGCAAAATATAGTTTTAACAAGGCCAAATACCTACTTTTAACCAGTTATTTTTGCGTAAATAGCTCACTAGGAGTTTACAGTGATTTGTTATCAGATTTCCAACAGTGTTGTGTTTTTAGATAAATAACTTTGCAGTGTTAGCTAATGAACCAATTTGGCATACAGTCATCTGCATACAGCATTTGGTATTCAATCGACGACTATAGGAGATAGAAATGAAATCCCTCAGTATTGATGCCTGTGGCACATTGTATACATTATGCTGCTGGAGATAATGAACTACTGCTTTACACATTTGTAGGATCTCCAACAACAGAACTACACATTTAATTAACTCAATAACAAGTGACTGTTGCACTGGTTTGCTTTGGAGCCAATTAATAAGATAAGATAAATCTTTATTTAGTTCCCATCAGCAAAAACACATCGGTTTGCTATCCTGGCTCCAAAATGGTGGAAAGAGCTCCCCATTGACATCAGGACAGCAGAAAGCTTACACATCTTCCGGCGCAGACTGAAAACTCATCTTTTCGACTCCACTTCGAGCGATATAATTGCTAACAAAGCACTTATATACTAACAAACAGTGTTGGGTGTAACGCGTTACTTTGTAACGTAACTACTTTTGCCGGGTAAAAAGTAGTGTAACGCTACTACGGAAAATTTGGTAACGTAACGTAGTTTCTTCTTCAATTCGCCGCAACGTTACTTTTCCCAGGGACGAGTGACAGTGACACTGCCTACTCCGCTGTGTGCTTACGCATTAGGCACAAGCTCTCATTCCACACTGTACGTGATAGAGGCTGGTCGCTGGTGGTGGCATGAAGACTGAAGAGCAGTGATGGCAAGCGAGTAGCAGGCGCAGCCAACGCTAACATTCGAGGGATGGAGGTATTCCCATTACTTCGAACTTGTTGAAACTAAGGGGAAAAATGTGAGTGTAAGGTGTACGTTGTGCCCTGGCCAGAAACTTGTGTCCACTGCCGCAGGGGCGATTCTAGGGGGGGAGCCAGGGGGGGGCCAGTGCCCCCCTAACACTGACCTCTGACCCCCCTGTGGCCCCCCTAACAATGAAAGTTTTTTTTTTTTTTTAAATGTTTTTAAATTTTAATTTTAAATTTTCTGGTACTCGGTTCGCCAAAAAACGCAGGATTTTGTTGCTGTAATGTGAGATTGTGCAGACACCCTTATGTAAAGTAGAGATGTAACTGTTCATTGCCTTTATTTTTATATAAATATGGTGTTAGTGCAAACATTGCACTATAACTTAAGCTGAAGCTAACAGTAATAACTATAAGATCTATCTGAAATAAATAAGTGTACTGAAACAAATACCAATAACTGTATTGCATTGTTTTCTTATGCGCAATTACTTCATACTGTCTAGTTCTCTTTTTCGTCCTGCATTTATTGTCCCCCCCTCAGAAAATAACTGGCCCCCCAGTGGCCCCCCAGTCAAATTGGTCTAGAACCGCCACTGCACTGCCGTTAACTCAACTGCCAACCTCACCAAGCATTTGAAAGGAAAACCTATGCTAGCATGAAGCTAGTAGCTCAAGATCCCCGGGGAAATGATGATATTTCGAGTCCAAGCCTATTTAGTAGCCT